AGCTCAGGAGGAAGAAAGGACATGCCTCCTGGGAATAGGCATGGCCTATAGATTTTAAGAGCAGTGATTTGCAAACTCCAATTTGATGTTTTTTTTCCTTGCCTTTTAATTTGGCTATGCTATCCTCAAGTCATGTTTAAGTTTATTAAACCAAAGAGGTCTCTATTAGCTGATCTCTGAAAAACAAAGGGGTGTTGGGTTATCCCCATGTTTGAGGCTTAGAAAGAGGTAAACTTGACTGAAGAAGTCTGGGTCAGAAGTCAAGCATGGAAGGTGGAAAACAAAAACCAGAACGTGATGAAGATTATGAAAAGAACTGCTGAGAGGACTGGACTTCCTATAGTCCTGTAGGATGGGGCAGAATAATGAAGTAGAAAATATTGCGAGAAGCTCAATCTTGTAAGTGTTGAAAACTAGGGACACTTGAATTAAATATATAACACAACACATCTGAAGTTAGACCTCAGGATGTTTTCCATTTCTTTTTGGCTACCAAGCAACAATGTGAGACAAGGATGCCCATTATCAGCATTTACTAAACAACTTAACAACCCAATGAGACATGAAAATATGAAGACTTAACTGGAAAGAGATAAAAAATTTTTTTTATAGATGACAACTGCCTATACAGAAAAATCAAAGAGAAACATTAAGCAATGTATTAGAACTAATAGAGTCCAGAACATTTCTGGGTCCAAGATTAACAAAAAAATTAATGGTATTTTGTGTACTGGTAATGACCATTATAAAATTATGGTGTATGCCATCAGTTTTGATCAAAATCCCAAGAGGCATATTAGAGAAACTTCACAGGTTATCCTAAAAATTATATGGAAAAGTAAAAGTCCAAAAATGGCCAAGACAATTTCTGTCCTTTTTGAGTCACTTAGAAAAAAGAATGAAATTCGTAAGGAGAAGGGCAAAACAACACAAGTGCTTGTAAACTAGCCATCTTTGATGACAACCCACAAATGATGCTGCCAGAAAGTGCTCATGAATTTTAGCTGCTTTCTCTTCATGACCCGAGACACTTGGAAAGCAAATATTTTGTATGGCCATTTCTTGATATATGTGTCCAGTGAAAGGACTCACAGCAGAGCAAGTGAGTAGTAGCTGAAAGAAAAGTGAGAAGATTTAACTATCCGTTGCCCACTGGTGGCCTGAGAATAAAATTAGGCTTGCAGGCATATTATGCGGAGTCTCACAATTTTGACTGGCATTGTATTGGACAATGTTTTAAATTGTTGTCAACATTTAAAAAGCTGGAGATTTCATATGAAGACCATTGGTTGGAGCCAGATTGCTGTTTCCTTCTTTAGAGAGTTCTTTCTAGCTTGCTATTGTGCATATCACTCTTAATATCTCTTTTGGCTCTCATTTTCAACGCCTACCTGGTACCTTCAGTCATTTGAATTTGTAGCCTCTGACTTAGGTAATGCCAGGAGACAGGAGAAGAGATACTTCTGTGGTCTAGATTAGGATGGTTAGGACTTGCAGAAAGTCAATGGAAAGAAAGCTAAATCAACATACCTGAAATAAAATGTTTTTCTTTTAATCAAGAAATTCTTTGTAGATCACATGTTAGAGTAACAATTTTCTACTTTTTTTTTGAAATGCATTGTAGTTAAAAAACTTTCATTTAAATGATAATGGATATATTAAGACTACTCTGGTAGCTACTAAAACTTTCCTGAAAGACAAAGAATTCACTTTTCTATGGAAACAGCAGCCACTACTCACTGCCTAGCAGACTTTGCAAAAAGAAGGAGAATACAACTTAGAGGCAATTTAAATATTGCATCAAAAAGCCACGAAAACTTCCAAGGAATTGACTTGCTATTACCGCCTCCTACCAGTTTGGGACAGAGAGCCAGGAAAGATACAAGTGTATTTTGGAAAGCTAACAGCGTCACAGGATGCCATTGTTTTTGCAACATTTATTCCCTGGGTCAACAATGGAGACAAGGACCCTGCGTGAAACAAACTGTAAGTGTACAGTGAGAAAGAACCTTGGGGCAGTGCCGGGGACAGAGGCAGAACACAGCCGCTGTAAAGGGCTGGATTCGGTTTTCTCTAGCCAGCGTCGGAAGTTGACCATCATTTGGTTATTTCCGATAATTTCCCCTGGCATTTGCCTGGTCCTGGTCATTGTGTGTCTCATCTCAAGGTGTCTGAATCCTTCAGCGGAAGGCAATTTATTCCTTCCTGGCTGCTGGCCATCACCTGACTATGTAACCCTGGACCAAAAGCTACGAAAGAGTGAGCTTGATTCTCTTCCTCAAGTCAGAAAACCAACCTGCCCTCCTCCACGCCACCCCGCCCCGCCAAAATCAATGGACTACAAAGTTGATTTGAATATTTTATTTATAAATGTACATTGCTATAAAAGCCGTTGCATTTTAGGCAACTTTTTATTTTATTTTCTTACTATTTCTCAGAGGCATTTTAGAATAAATATTTTAAATGAAGGTTAGTGTAACTGATATAGAACGCTGGCCCACCCAGAACAGTAACATCTTTTGGACGGACTCGCACATGAGGTGGATCATCTCAGTTCATTAGGTCTTACACTGTGTATAGATAACTATAATAGGTATTGCATTAATAACACTACTTAGAAAGAATGAGAAAATGTCATGAAAGTTTGCTAGTGAAAAAGTTACCATTTTCTCTTAAGAAAGAGAAGGAACTAGCTTTTGGAGTATGAGAAAAAAGTCAGACATACTTCCTCAGGAACAATAAATCATTCACTTGCCTCGTCTGTTTTTTGTTTTGTTTTGTTTTTAAGCAAACACATTTACATTGTAGCTCAACAGAGCAGAGCATTTTTTTTTTATTCTGGGATCTCAAAGATTATTTGAAAAGAAATAGATCATACTCATTATGCTGCATTGGAAAAAACAAGATCTAGTCTGCCGTGTAACAGAGTCCAAATGAAATATAAATCAAATATAAATAGAAACAGTTGGCAATTAGAATTTAGAAAATGTTGGAGATTATTCTGTGCTGGTGACTATTGTTCATTATGGGAAAGCATTTCGCAGTTGGAGAATGGGCTTTATTTTTCTTGACTCAATTCTAGCTTCAATACATGTACAATGAGTCTCACTAAGAAATATGTATAAATGGGTTTGTGAAACCAGAAGAGAATGTGCAATATTCATATAATTCCTACATAACGGATGGAGTTCCACATGTAAAAAGTATTCTATAAAATTCGGTTATGAATGATCATATTGTACATGTTTTGTGCATTATTTCCGGTAAAGTACTCTGTTAATATCATGCAAAGTGTAAACATCACATTATCAAAATATTTAATAAAACATGCAGGTGGTTAATCAAAATATTGAACTTAATCTGTACATTTTCAAAACTTTTTCTTTTTAATTTTTTCTATTTTTCTTTTTCTTTTTTTTATTTTTTCCCCCTGTAAAACAGCAAACACCTCCGTGAGAAGTCTTGGGAACCTGGAAGTGACTTCATCTCTCTTCTATGTACTGCATCCATAATTCATCACTGTGTGCAACAGCTTTGCATTTTCTAAGGCACAATTTTTAATGAAGTGATGTGTAAATTTCAGTCTAACAACAGCTCATCCGAATGACAATATGGTCAAAACACCTCCAGTGGCTGAGGAAACTTCTGCACTTACATGGAACCTGCATGCAGAGAACCATCTAGCATGTAAATAAATAATTGCTAGCCATATTCAATAAGACACAGAAAAAAATTATTGCTTACATAACAAAAAAACATCTACTTGATCTCCTTTTATGACTACATTAACCTATTAGGAGGATAGCCATAGTCTACATTCACAAAATGTCATCTTCACTTATTTGCCACCATTTTAAGGCAGAATAAATAGTTCTCCTTTCCCCAGTTTTAAAGAAACAGCCTGGAGATTTAAAACATGATGCTTTTTAGTAAGAGGATTCCTTCCTTGGCCAGCTGAAACTCACCACACAGGGCAAGAAATAACCAGGTCTCCGCAAGAGTTCCTCTCTCAAAATCTCCACAAGCAAGGTCCAGAATTCTTGACAGGAAAGAGGGTCGGTGATGTAGGAGAATGAGGAAGAGCAGATATCCATTAGAGCGGGCAGCGCACACGTGACCTGCAGGTTGTTGCTGATCACACCCCTGTGGCTGATCACATCATATGTCATTTGGATTCTATTTGGATGAACTTAATGTTTTTGTTTAGACACCTGTGCTTCTGGCCCTGAAGCAGAACTCGCAGGCAAGGGTGAGCAGTGGTCTCGCTCATTGGAGGGCTGATCTTGATGAGAGTTACTGAATGTAGAGTCCGAACAGAGGCAAGCAACAGAGTCCTCATGGCTAGCAATGGCCCACTACTCTCTTGAAGGTCAAACTTCCTCATATTTTGGTAGTAACCTTGGAAATGATGACTAAAATATTTTCCTCTGGCTTTTTTTCCCCCTACCCTTGAGCAATGTCCAGAGTGTAAGTCTAGCTGATACTGCCAGGGTTCTCTTTATTTGATGGACCAGATTCTATCAATGGCATAACCTTCAAAGTATACAAAACCTAATACTAATGGTGCAATAATTTACTGGTATGACTTCTACCTCAAAAAGTAAGTAACACAAATGTTTCAGGATTACAGTATATATTATCAGGTTAGTGTCTTTGCATTAAAAACAAGTTGTAGCTCAGAGCTATATGATGTGGTTTTTAGTTTCTGAAATGCATTAATTGTATGCTCCTGTCTTAAAAGACCACGTGTCTCAAATTGGCATGTCTTGCACTTTCTGCAGCTCAATTTTGTAAACACAAAGTATTTAATTCCTAGAAATACTAAAACAAAACAGGTTTATTGAATCATTTATCTCATTAAGTCCCAAAAGAAGAGAATAACACATTTTAAACTGTAAGCCTGTTTGACCATACTAACACCTTCTTTTGAGCTAGTCAGAATCATTACAATTCAATATTCTTTTGTGTACACTGTGCAAATGCAAAAAAAACACAACAACACAAAAAAAAACCCCAGGAAAAACACAAACACTGTGCTATAAAAGGACAGATACCATGTTTTAGAATCGCCTTTCAGAAATTAGATGAGTGCTGAGAAGCCCCTGAACTTGGGATTCTGTTAAACAATTGCCAGGAGACACTCTCTAGAAAGAAGTGGTGAGTGATCTGGAAGCTGGAAAACCATGTCACAATGTTGTGGGTTGGCCAGCACCTGTGACGAAGAAATCAGAGCAACAATTGGTTGAAGTAGTTAATGCTTCTCACTTCAGATGTTTACAAATTTCCCAAATTAGCTATGACCTCTGTCTCTTCCCTTGAGGGAGGAAAACTTGTCCCACCCCACTGCTCAAAGCGTGGTCCCAGGGGACATGGTATCGGTATTACCTGGAGCTTGTTAGAAATGCGGACTTCCGAGCCCTCTCCCAGACCTTAACCAGGAGCCCAAGTGACTCACATGCCCTGTAAAATGATCTACACCAAATGATCTCCATCAAGTTTTCTACTTTGTCTTCTTGGTAAATAAGCAAGAAAATATTCTCTCTCCTCTCAGTTTCTTTAGGTTTTGTTTCTCAAAGAATAAATACATTGCAATATGAGGAATTTGACATATGATCTACAAACAGAATTTCTAGAGTTAGCAATTTAAAATACAGAACACCCAGTAAAATCTGAATTTCAGAGAAACAACACATACAATTTTTTAGCATAAGTATATATCCCATATGATATTTGGGATATAGTAGTGCTAAATTCTGAGCACGCAATATTTGAAATATAGGCATACAAAAGAAATTCAGTGTTTATCTGAAACTCAAACTTAACAGAGCAAAAAGCATTCAGCTGGGCATCTTGTATTTATCTGGTGACCCTATCGAGGAAGGATGGTTTGGGCTCCATGTTTTCTGCTGACATCTTAGCAAAGTTTCTTATTTTAGGCATCAGAGTTCTAGTGAGGCAATAGCAACATTGGAAAAGGCCCCAGGGATTTTGCATTAAGTGCATTTCATGTGAGTGAATGATGGAACAGGCACAAAGACACAGCCACCCAGCACCCAGGCACAAATGGCACAAGTTAAACATGTGACGGCTCGATTCGTGACAGGTAATTTGTTTTGCACTTCCATTGCCATTTACATACGAACTTAAAAACTGTTTACACTGCTTTTAGGAATTGCATTTTAATATGCTGTTATGCTATTTTTCCTCTCCAAGAGAAAATTTTCATTTAAATGTGACTAGTTACTTGAAGAAAATAGGATTATATATTCAGGTTTTATTATTCCACAAAATGAAATTATTTTGTTTCACTTAGAATGTCTATGATGTAAACCACCCCTCATATCCATCTACCTCCCTTCTTCTCAACTCAGATCAAAATCAAATAAAAAAATGATTTTTTGCTATTTCTTCCCATTCTGACTCTTTTATTGCATCTAGGGTACAGTCTACCAGTGCCAGTGTATTTATACTTCTCTAACTCATTATTATCCCTTCCACCTATTCACTCCTAACAAATATTTTTCTCTGATGACACCAAGAATAAAAATAAACAGTATTCTCAGATGTGCCGGTCATTTTCCCTGTCATGTCATGACTTAAAGTTTAGCCTAAAATGATATTAACATTTATTTGGAAAACTAAATATGAAAGAAGAATTAGGAAAATTTGGAACAAATAATTAGAGTTAAGGTGGCCATTATTACAATTTTAAAATATATTATGAAGCTATAATAATTAAAACTGTTTGACATTAGCGAGTAAATAGGTTAATAACACATAAAATATCCAGAAATAGACCCAAATATATATCTGAACTTAGTTTATGAGAAAGCTGGCATTTCAAATTAGTGAGGAAAAAAGGATTATTCATTTAGTTATAGTCACACTATTGGCTAATGGGATGGGGTGGAAATCGCTAGATATCCATCTCATTTCTTACCCCAAAATATATTCCTGATGTCACAAATTTACATGTGAAAAATATAACAAAGAACAATTCTAGGAGAAATCTCAGTTTTTCTAAGTAGGATGCAAAACATAGAACCAAAAAAAACCTACAAGGTATGTTTTATTGGTTAAATGAAGATGTTTGCTGTGTAAAAAAAGATCACAAAGTAGAAAGATGAATGATAACTGCAACAAGCAGCAAATACAAAATAAGAGGAAAAGTAATTTACAAAAAAAAAACTCATATACATCAAGTGCCAAAGAAAAACATGCAAAGGATAAAGAAGTACAGTTTTTAATAGAAAAAGAAATATAAATAGTGAGTAAACATAAAAAGATGTTCAAACTCACAATTAAAGACATATAGAGCAAAGCAATGAATTCCCTCCTCCAACCAGCGTGGAAAAATAGAAAGTCTGATCACGGCCAGAGCTGACATAGGCATGGAGGGAAAGAGGCTTTTAAACACTTTGCAGGGACACTGCGCTTTTCTGGAAGATAGTCAGGCAAGCTGCCTGAAAATTTAGAAAGCATGTGCCTTTTAGCTCAGTAGTCTTGCTGCTCACAAGCTACCCTGTGGAAATGCTTTCAAATGTTCATCAGACACATGGACAGGATGTTCGTTGGGGCATCTAAAAAATAGTGTTAGAAATTGGAAACACCTGAGGTCCCCATTCATGGAGATGTAGTTTTAAACTTTGGTAAGTCCATACAGTAGGATTGTATGCGGCTATTAAAAATCCTTTGACAAGAATGAGGAGAAAGAACATGTTCGGTGGAAAGATTGCCAAGATATATGTTTACGTTAAAGATAACAGCAACAAAAACTAAGTACAGAAAACTGACTATGTGATTAACATAGTGAAATTAAAACCAACACCTGCATCTGTGTGTGTGTGCACGTCTATACAAACATACTTCCTGCCTCTCTCCCCAAGCAGTTATTAGAAAGTGACTATGGCGGTTACCTTTGGAAAGTTTGTTTTGTTTTGTTTTTTACTTTTAATTTGGTATCTTCCTGAACATCTAATTTTTCTAACCTTATATCACTTATGACTTTTATTTATTTATTCTTTTTGAATGTCTATAGAGGTTATCTTGGCAGAGAGGTAAGACTTTTTGCTTTTTTCTTAGAATCTTAGTATTCTAAAAAAAAAGAAACCCTAGTAAAATAGCACATTGAAATATAAAATAAAGAAAGAAAATAATCCTATTTTTAGCCTACCTCCAAATCACTTTCTTATTTTTCATCTTCTGAGATTGTTACTGAAACTCCATGGTTCTTGTCTTTAGATTTGGAATTAAGAGCAGTTAATGCCCCTTATGTTCATACATACAGGGAAAAAAATTCCTGGCCTAGATCTGAAAAGCTCATTTCCAAAAGAAATGACAATGAGTCATCCAACTTCTCAATTAAACTAAAAATCTGGATGAAAACAGGTTCTGTCCCCCAGAGGTGGGTTCATGTTGGTTCTCCACTGGCATCTGTCAAGCACTTTAAATTATGAAAGAAATCCAGACTCGGAGCGCTTTTCAAGGCTGCCCGGCTGGCCTGCAACCTAACAGTGCCCTCTTCTGGTTCCACGGCCCACGCTCAGCTGGACTGAGCAAAAGTGCAATGCATAGAAGATGATAGAAAAAAAGCACATTAAAAACTGGGGGCAAACGGGTTTAGTTCTCACTTCTAATGTATACAGACAAAACAAACAAAAATTCAGTTAAAAATATATATTATACATGTATATATGTATTTGTATATCCATGGTATATATATACATACCATGTATACCATGTATCCATGGTATATATATACATATATACATGGTATACTATCTAGACCGTATTTTATATTTTTAACACATAGCATAAAAATCATATTATATGTTTATACCGCATATATAATATACACATGGTATAAATATACCTGTTTATAGCATGTGTTTATATATTATATATACATTGTACAAATCTATGTAATATATAACATATGTTATTTCTGTATATTATATATCATACCTGGTATAAATATATAAATATATATAATATAAAATATAATACACAATATACGTAGTCCAGTTTGATGGCAGCAGCTCTAAGTTGGAACTGTTCTGACCTCAAGTCAAATGTTGGTCATAGATCAAAATCACCTGAGTTTGATTAAATTTTTATTTCATATAATTTTATTAAAAATGCATATACTTCTCAGAATATACTAAATCTATAGATTTAATTTCATTTTTTTACTCCTAAAGTCTTTAGTCTTGCAGATTTAGAGATTCATGTTTAAAAAGCTATAAAAACTTCATTGCATTTACTTGGAGAAGTCATAAAATATTCTTGAATTTCAAACACCATCTCTTCACCCCTTCCCTTTTTTTTTTTTTTTTTTAAAGAAAGAGTTTCTGACTGATGAATCTGCATGGAAGAGTCGTTTGTCCAGGCCATCCACTGGAAGGGCTCTCTTATCGATGGAAAGTTGAGGCAGGATTCAGAGGCTTGGTCACCGGCTCTTTGCAGATTTTCTAAACAGAAGCTGGGCAACAGCACCCCCTGGTGCCCCCAAAACCAACATTAACTTTCTAGGGTAGAAAATTCAGAAACAAGATCCAAGGGTGGGCTGCTCAAGGGAGCTTCAAGACAGCAGGTAGTTGTAAAGCTCTGATTATGTACTAAGGTGTGTTTTGGAAGGGGCAGGGATTCACAGAGAAGCAGAATCCGTCATTTGGTCTCTCAAGGAAATTTCAATTTAGGTGGGGGCAACAACATACTATATCATGAAACTCCTGAACATAGAGCATGAAGATATCGAGGAGCTGGTGCTTGATCTGATGAACAATGAAGAGCCATTCTTTACGCTTAACTCCCCCCACCCCCGGCCCCCAAGATGGGGCTGATCTTCTAAAGATATCCCTCACCTAGTGAACAGTGTTTTACAGACCTTACATCTGCCTTCTGTCTCACCCAAGCCTCTATGGAGAGCTAAGGCGATGCCTCAAACTTGGCCTACAGTTTTTATCTGCTGGTGTATGAACGAACTTTTAGATGAAAAGAATCTGGTCACACCCAAGCAGTAACTTCCAGTAACAAACAAGTGGTAAATAAAAGGTTATTTCATTATCGCTTCCTTTATGTAGATGCTAATAAAGCTTTCCCTGGGGTAGGAGTGTCAGCTGATGGGCAGAAATAACTGCCTTCCTCCAGAGGGCCCTCTGAGAGGCATGTGGCCGCACGACTCATCCCCAGGTATCTCAGCCCAGTACTCACTTCTGGATCGCATGTAGCAGTCGTTGCAGTTTAGAAGACCGTTGCGAATCCTGACATCCGTCCCACTCACGGCATCTCCAAGCTGTCCTTTACAAATTCCACACTACAGGGGAGAAAGAGCAGAAGTTATAAGGTGCATAAGGAGTTCCTTTATAATGCATAGTTGCTGTTTATGTGAATAGCACAATAGTCACGTACACAACCTCCACATTTGCTGAGCATCTACTACTGTGTGTTAGATGGCACACTAAATATTGACTTTCGGCAACATTATACTCTGAGCATTTTATGGTAACTGCTTGCATTTTACAGAGAAGGACACTGGTTCAGAGAGGTCAGCTGGTTTGTGCAAGGTTCTAAAACTGGTGAGTGGTGTTGGGTTAATCCCAAAGCCTGTGCTGTTAACCTCTATTACGTGCCATTTCTAAGTCAACATGGGAAACCATTTTATTTTTATTTTTAATGAAATTTATTGGGGTGATATTGGTTGATAAAGTTATATAGGTTTCAGGTATACAATTCTATAATGCATAACCTGTATACCGTATTGTGTGTTTACCTCCCAAAGTCAAATCTTCCGTCACCTTGTATTTGACCGAAGTGCCATTTTAAACAGTTAAACACTAGTGGTTTTAAATAAACACTTAGCCAACAGCTTATCAATTAGAACTTGCCTGTGACTAATCATTAAATGCTTTCCAGCATTGTTGGTAAGTTCTGTCAGGTCAGAATTACTAGCAAATAGCTGTACACCTTATCTTCTCACATTAAAGGCCATGACACCCAGAGTAATGAATCCAAGAACGGAGCACCTTTTAGTCAAGTCAGCTTGTGGGCAGGTGACTGTGGGGCACACCGCGCTGGGGGTGCCAGAGAAGGCGGCAGGGGGGGTTGGAGCTGATACCAGCCTCAGACTCGTATTTTACCGTCACCAGGGACAGAGGGAGGCTTCCTCCCAATTATGCTCCAAGTTGCATCTGCATCGCAAGGGTAGGGGATAAACCTAAGAGGCGACATATCTTAAAGCATCAGGTCAGTTCCAGGAAGTACATGAAGAGAAAGAACAAAGGCTTTCATAGCTTAGAAGGCAAGTCTTCTATCCTGCAAGAATCATCAAAGACTCGTTGCGACCTTGATTATTTTGAATTCTGGTAAAGTTTTGGAGAACAAACTATGGTGTTAGAACATATTATCTTGGCATAACCATGAAATTTTAAAAAGTACATCCCTTGAACCTCAACACACACCTAGACTGTTTAAGACATACATTATTTCATTAATTTTCCAATGAGAATATTGGTAAATTGAATTTCATTAAGTCTCTGTATTAGGTTTTGTCCACGATCAGCTTTGCATCCCAGTGATTGCTGATGCTATTGAATGAATAATTTTGGGACAACCTCACTTATTTTCCCTTAGCTTATAGGTGAAGTGGGAGTTATTTTAAGCCCATGTAAGTGTACTTTATAGCTGAAGAAAGTACCAATGAGAAAAAGAACAAAATTCAAGAAGGACGAAGAAAGCATGTCAGGGTTATAAACAGAAAGAAATGACTCTGACTCAGAGCTAGAGGGTGAGTTTCAAAAAATATATATTAATTTGAAACATGTCCATGAGGGAAAAAAAAAAGCTGGGAAATGCTGAAAGAGGCTAACTTACCAATTTTATAAAAAATCAGCTATAACTGGTTAGCTTACCTATGTATGAGCAAGAAATCTGGGGCTAGAACCTAGGCCTCCTCATTTTCAGTTTATTCATTAATTTGTTCATCTAAAAACGTTTATGGATACCGTCTCTGCCAGGTGCAGAAGAAATAGTGGGGAGCCAGGCAGTCCTGGATCCTGCCCTTATGAGTGGATAGTTTATTAGAGGAGCTGAAAATTATAATGAAACAATTCCATAGCGAGTGATACGGACCGCGAAGGGTTCTACGAGGACCTGTCACACAGTCAAGTCACTTGGTCTGGGTGAGCAGGGCAGCTTCTCAGAGGAAGGGATATTCAATTTGGGAGTGCAGACATTCATTTGGAGACCTACAACTTTGCAACTAGCTATAAGCAAACTTAACTGACAGAAAATCTTCAACATTAAGTCACAAGAGTTTGAGACGCAGTGGATATTACATGCCCAATAAATCCACACATGCCCTAAAAGATTCAGAAGTCTCGCTGTCTTCCCAGGGCGGTATTCTCAGCGACCTGCTAGAGTCGACACTCTGCTTTCACAGCGAAACCTGGTTTGTGAGAGTACATTGCACAAACCTGTTTTGCTTCTGCTAACCTGACATCCCAGAGGGATGAATGATCGCAGAATTTCATCCTGAAGGATGACTTCCACACACACTTCCGCAGGGGGTGCGCCGCGCGAGCAAAGGCTGTCATGATTTCCAGGAGGTATTTCTCAGCACAGAACGATGCCAAAAGACATTAGGACATTGTACTTAGAAGAACAATGAATACATACCCTGAAGCACTGGATGTGGAAATAGAGATTGAGGGTCTCGATGATCATCGCAGCTCCTTTCCCCAAAGGAAGCCCACAGGAAGAGCACAGCTTCTTCCCACTTATGGACCTAGGTTTAAGACCATATATAATACTAAACTATTCCATTTAGAATAGTTGGTTAAATATGCAAACATGTAGCTTCATGCAAAAAATTAAAAAACATGGATTTTAAAAATGTTTATATCATGAGTGAAATGACAAATACTGAACTAATGAGCAGAAACTAAGCATTAGGTGTAATCTGCAAACAAGTGTTAGACTAAATACAATAGGCCTCCATCGTGGTATAGGAATTGGTGTGCATGTGTACGTGTTTTAGTAATTTTGTTACAAGAGTTTGTGTTGTACTTTATTTAACCACAGTGATCAAATGCCCTGAAGTGATTCAATGTATTTATTACATGTTTATATAAATCCTAAAAGATAATGAAGTTGAGCTTTACTGAGGTTTCAGAGTTGCTTTAAAATTTTCTCTAATTGAGTCATTGTCCCACTAGGGCATTTCTTTTGCCTATTAAGAAAAAGAAATCTTTTTTGTTTAAAAATACAGAGGCAATTATGATCCAGTCCAACGGGTCCCAGGCAGATACGAGATGTTCTCCCTGCTCTGTCACCAAGTTCTGCGATCTGATGTACAGAACTCACTCTGGGCTTCCCTTCCACCTTCAAAATGAGAGGATTGGACTAGATTATCTCCACTGCCTCTTCCAGTGTAAACACTGTGACCCTATAATCCGGGCACTTGACATCCTCTCTGAGTTGTAAGCCCCTTGAGGACGTGGGCTGCCTGTATCCCACCTCTGCTCCCCCGCAGCCCCCAGCCCACCGATGGACTAGAACCAAACCCAGCGGACCGACACCAGGTGAGGGCACTAGATGGCTGTCGGCTAAGGTGGCTTTTCCCCGACTCAGCTCAGACCGCATCGATGCCTACTGTCTGGAAAGCTCTTGGGATTACACAAGAAATTTGAAAATACGCAATATCATTCAGAGGCCAACAGGGTAGGCAGGGACAGTGGAAACAGAAAGGAAGACAAAAGGAAAGAGGAAGAGTTGCCCTAAGCAAACCCTATTTATTAGGATTTCCCTCTTATCCAGGAGTTAAATGAAATTTCTAAATCAAAGAAAACTTCGGAGTACTCAGTAATTGGTCTCTCCAGTGAAAAGGAACGCAGGCAGCTTTTAAGAATATCATGGGGCCCAATTAATGTCCAGAAGCAATCCTCAGAGAGCTTGAGTAGGGGAAAGGAAAGGAGGCGGTTTCGTTGCTCAGCCCCCGCCTGGTTCTCTGTTAAGAGCCATCAGCCTAGAAGGGCCAAGCCATCTTGGAGGGAAAGGCGCCGACTGAGGAGCCCAGCAATTGTCTGGTGGATTTTATTATTAGATTGCAGGTTCCACACAATATAATTAAAGGTCCATGGCTGCAGCCGCGCCAACGTCACACACTTGGCTCCTTCGGTCGTGGGCTGCAGACAGACAGGGAATGTGTTCTTTCCTCCTGCCTGTGTGTGTGTCGAAAGGGACTTGATGGACAGGCCTCTCAAAATCATTTGGCAAGCATTAATCCAGTTAAAATTATGCCTGGCAGGCTCTCTTCAAAACAGAGCCACCCCAGAGAGGCTTGCTGACCTCTTGTACCTGTTTGGTGACTCGCCAGGAGGGGCGGGAGGACAGGGGGACACGTGTCCCGCCTGCAAGTTCTCTCGAGGGCTTTTCCTGTAACATGGTAAAGGAGCCAAACATTATGACAAGTAAAGAGAAGCCCAATCCCACAAGAAAAGACATTTTAGAAAAGAAAATAAAAACTTCCTTGCTAAACATATATAAGACCACAGAGCATCCTAGATGTAATTTTTTAATAAAGGCCAAAAACAGTCATCCTGTCTAGGCAAGATTATACATGTGTTGGCTGCACAAGGTCAAAACCAGGCTGGCACCACTGAACAGGAAAGACAGAATATTTTTCTCATGTTTATTTTTGCCAGGTTCTTTGCTTATTTAAAACTGCACACTGAGTTAGACGTAGAAATTATAGACCAGGCAGGAGGGGAGATATGAGTAGGGATGTAGGGAAAAGTTCATACAGAGAGCCCAGAAATAAAGGACAGAACTTAGAGGAGGTATTTTTCGGTGAAGTGGCTTCTACCCTATCAGTTAATTCATTTTGAGGACATGCGATCGGGGGGCAGTGTTCACAATATTCAATGACCATGATGTCATGGGCACCCACAAGCATAGTGGTCCCAGCCGGAAGCTCCCGGAATGGCTTCACAGGTGCTGTTGGTTGCACAGGCCCCGCCTGTGATTCAGCTGTCAGTTCCAGGATCTTACTTATACAAGTTATTTCCATTTGTGAAAACAGGGATGGAACTCAGGGGAAAAAGCAGGGACAAGAGGCATGCCGCCAGCACCGAAGGGAGCGGGCATGAGTCCCCCTGCCTTCGGCTGCTTGCGGGGTCACGCCCCGGGCCCCTGCCCACCCGCGCCGCCCTCCTCACGCAGGGCTTGTTTTCTCCAAAATGGCGCATTTGCATGGGATGTCCTAAAATATAAATGCCATTGCCTAAAAAAAATGGTTGATAATCACTTCTCTGTGATTTCAGCTTTTATTGACTGTGCTGTCATCTGGGCCAATAGAAACCAAATTGGGTAGACAGAAGAGAAAGGGGGAAATGGTTCAAACACTGTATTTTAAAAAATGTAGCCGGGTAAAACAATGAACTTATAAAACAAGCTATCATCATCATCATCATCATCATCATCATTGTCATTATCACTACCATCACCTAAACTATATAGTTTTTATTCTTTGCCAGGAACAAAACCTCATAGGTAGGTGTTATTATTTCCATTTTATACGCAAGGAAACTGAAGCAGAGAAAGACGCATCAGCTTGCTCAAAGCCCTGTGCAGGCAAGCGGCAGAGTCAAGATTTGAATCCAGGCGGTCTGGCTCCAGGTTGAGTGACTAGTTAAAGTATAATGAATGCTATTTTTTTTAAAACTGATGACAAGGAACCTTTGGTTCAAATATGATCTTATCATGGAACTGTGGGTTCATTTTGAATTCCTCTACCACTTAACCAGTCAAGTACTTTGAATAAGTTATTTAATTTCTCTGAGCCTCAGTTTGCTTGTCTGAAAAATGAGAACAGTAACCCAGTTGAAGTTCTTGGGAGAATTCAGTGAGTTAATTTATGAAGAGAAGGGATATGTAAATCCTTCAATGCAGTGCCTATTATATTGAAATGTTTCAAAAATGTTAGGGACTATCATCATTGCAAGAAGATACAAATCTTACAAAATTAGAATATAGCCTGGAGTAGCTACTTAAAGGAAGAGAATGATAATGAGAGAAAAACATTTTTTTTTCTTGAAAAAATATTTGTCAATAGATTGAGACAATTTAACTCAAATAAATAAATAGTTAATACAATGTGCCTACAAATTCTTTCCAATGTTTAGATTTGTGGGTTAAAAACATCGCTTTGCCTGTTTCAATAGATAAATTCAGAGTGCATAATTACTTGTCTGGAAGATTGTCCTAAATTTCCATAAATTTCCACCTTGTCAGTGTAAATTCAATGGAGAGAAAGCATAAAATGCTACTAACATCTTGCCATAACACACTTTTTCATTTTCCCCTTGTTAACCAATACATTTTTTAAAAAATTTTATTTATTTATTTTTAGAGTGAGGTGAAAGGAGGAATAAAGAGAGGGAGAGAAACATCAATGCGAGAGAGAAACATCGACTGGTTGCCTCTTGTACACTCTCCGACCAGGGACTGAACTGGCAACCTGGGCATGTGCCCTGACTGGGAATCAAGGCAGCCACCTTTTGCTTTGTGGGATGATGCTCCAACCAAGCCACACTAGGCAGAGCAGTCAGTCATAGAGAGAAAGGAAGGGCGGGAGGAAGGGAGAGAGGGAGGGAGGGAGGGAGGGAAGGAAGTCCACATCTTTGGTTACTCACTTTCGCCTTTCACTCGGTGACTCAATCTGATGGTTAATGCTTTTATCCAATGGGAGGGTTTTTGGCTTCACATCTTCTAAGGTGTTCATTGGCAGGCTTGATACCTGCTGATTCCAGGATGGATCTGAGGCCAAATAAGGAACATAATTCAGTGCCCAGTGACATCACCTTTGCTTAGTAAGACACCTTTCTGTAAAGTGCTAATGCCTGCCCAGGTCTCATGGCGATTCCCTGGGGAGTCTGGGCAGTTGCTGGTGGGAGTTTATTCCCAGTGCTCTTTAGTGTAAGCTAGAAGGGAAGCCTGCAGCCAACAGAAATCATGTGTGCCTGGACAACAAAGGGGGCTGTCTTACAATAATTTAAACGTCGGGGTTGGTCTTGGACGTCCTTACCCTGAACTAGCTGTGGGTTCATTCCACAGGGTGGGACTCCAGCGTCTGCAACCAGTCGATCGTCCTGATGGGTTCCTTTTGATGTTGGGTTCTCAGCATCAGTCAAGGCCCCCTGAGTAAGGCTGTTAAAATAAATAACTGTATTTCAGAACAGAGATAAAAGCAACTGAACTACAGTTTTGATCCTGTGGAAGAACCAATTTCAATATGAATAAATAAATGGGGCTAACTAAATGCTTATTTATTCTTTTTATTTTAAACTAGGTTTAAACACTCTGAATTACTACTCATTTTTATTATCCAACAGTTTAACAAGTTTGAGAGACCATCATTTCTGATGTCCTTGCCACCTCCCTGTCCACAAAATAATTCGTTCTAATAATTTCAAGGGATGCCAGCACTCAGTGCTGCCCTGCCCAGATTTTCATGGGATGATTTACTGCAGAAATCATTTGGGCCACACGGGACTTTGGCAGCCCATGATAATCTACTAGACTTTCAGTAGCTTCTGTGTGCCAAAAAAGGAGAGGTAGAAGAGATTTGGGGTTTTTTTTAAAAGATTTTTTATTTATTTCTTTTTAGACAGAGGGGAAGGGAGGGGGAAAGAGAGGGAGAGAAACCTCAATGTGTGGTTGCCTCTCACGCGCCCCCTGCTGGGGACCTGGTCTGCAACCCAGGCACGTGCCCTCATTGGGAATTGAACAACACCCTTTGGTTTGCAGGCCGGCACTCCATCCACTGAGCCACACCAGCCAGGGCGAGAGGAGGAAGAGATTTTAAAAAGTCTGGTGACAACAGGGACTGTCTAGAGAACTAGCAAAAATGCACATGAAATGCTTATCAGCAGTACTTAAAAATTCCTAACGGGTGGCTTTCATTTCATAAAATTGGGAAGTCCCTTTAAACAGTGTTCCCTGGAAACAGATGTGCCCTTCCAAGTGCTCTGAAGACTCTGGATGTGGGCCCCAAACCCCTGCGCCCTACAACTCAACCAGTCTTCTAGCTGATGGGCATAGGGGGGTTCACAGGGCAAATCCCATCAGAAGAGCTCAGCTCTCAGCCAACCCTTCACTTAACCAATCTTTGAAAATCAGGTCCCCTGAGGATGGCTTGTGTGTGTGTGTGCAGCCTGTGTACAAGGATGCACACTTACCAATGTCTATCTGGTATCCCAGAGTCCCAGAGGCAAACATCTGTCTAATAAAGAACGTGCTGGTGGCAGAGCCTCCTGAGTTTCTGTGGGTCCCATCTAGATTAGGTGTGGGGTGGCAGCAATAAACCCTCTATAGCCCATAGCTACCACCAGATTCTGCTTCTGCCTGAGCTCGCTCTGAATGTGGCAGGGATTTCTGGGTGCCCTGTTCTGACATCCCATGGAACAGACTGGAACCCATGGGTGGGGTGATCACCCACAACCAGTCAATTTGTCGGTAATTCTTTATATTATTACCGAGTAAATGTGGCTTTTCATAGTTCAGAGGGTACTAATGGCAAAGTTGAGGTCCACAGTAAAGCCACTGTGGGTGGGACCCCAGTGCCTCATTTCAACCTCCATCCCTCCAGACACGTTAGTCATTTCAGGTGAGTGATGTTCAGGTTTGGGGTTTTGAATTGATCACATGCTCCTTCTGTGATCTCTACTGTCTTCCCTTATTTTAAAAAAGGTTTTGCCTATTTAAAAATAAGGCTATTTATAGTCAACAGCGTAGGGACATTGACTTCAGAGTTATTAGAATGTGTTCAGGCAGAATGTAATGTATTACTGGAATGATCATTTCAAAGCCGAATATGATTTGCATTAGCGCTGAGTACTCTTCCCGGGAGAGAACAGGCAGAGCCCAGTTTTGCGCATTTAGACAGACAGCCTGGCACGGTTCATACCTGCCCTTTGCCTCCAGTGGCTCGCTTTCTCTGGTCTTCAGCGACAGGTCATGGTTGTCCCCCTGGAATGGTTTCTTCTGTCTTGTCTCTTGTTCTTTTTCATGACAGTTTTCCTGGTCCATCTTATTCTAATGGGACAAACAAGGATACTCTTAAATATAATTTTTAAACCCACTGGACAACACTTATCTCTGGCGATGGGATAGTTGAACCTTTTCTTTTCCAATCACATTGCCTAAAATTTAAAAAACAGTTGTTCAGATTGACTGAATAGTAACCGAGTTCTAATGATTTAAAATAAATGTGTAATCGGGGTGTCTCCCAAAAGTTATCATAAAGGGAGTAGGTGAGAAAACCCACCTTTCGAAATTAAAGTCATGGAACTGCTCATTTCAGGACAAATGCCTTTCGAGTGCCCACTGGTTATCTTGTTTAACGCGGATTATGGACCACCCAGGGTTTGGCATGACGTCTGTTCACTACCTTCATGGCTGTATTTGGAGGATATGGGGGTAGACCGGCCTTCCAGGGCTCTCTCCAGCCGTTGGAGACACATATAAATTTCATGCGGAATTTTAAGAGTGGGTTAGAAGCAACCTGAATGGAGCCCGGTGGAGAGCCTGCTGTTGGCACCCTGCCGCTGCCATCCAGTGCCAAGGGACGTGTGTCATGGCAGAGAGGACTGCTCGCCTGCTGAATGAATGAATGATGGGCAGGTAAGAAGCATATTCCAGCACGTGGCTCACAAATCAGGACCTGGCCAGCCAGTGCAGAGAGACTCTGGTTGCTAGCCGGTGGGAGCTGATCTAGCCCTAATCATGACTACTGCTCCCTGGGAAATGACTCTAGGATTTGGCCATGGCAGTGACAATACCATGGGGTACAGTGGCCACGTGGGAGCTGACGCGATTCTGGGGAAACAGCCGGGTTTCTAGTTAAACCTGTGGAAAACTTGGCCTGGTGGTTTTGTACTTCTCTTTAGGTTTATTTATTTCACAAATTGCTTTTATTCTACAGTCTTACCACTGTCCCGCTGCCTTCAGTCATAGAGGAGGATGTAGACAGCTGGTCTGCAGAACTCGAAGAAAGGGTAAATGGAACCACAGTGTCTTCAATTATTTTGCGCTCCTAAGAGGAAGAATGGGAATCAATGAAAGGGAAGAAAAATCAGATATCACATTTGTCAAGAGAAAAATTTCATTAAGGAACTTTAGAAAAAAAAGACATCAGGGTTATATGCAAACAAGCAGAGCATTAAAAAAAGGTCTTATTTTCTAAAAGCATGTAAATCAGATAATACTCTCTGGATAATGATTTAGAAATTAGCATTTGATTTAATAGAAAAACAAAGTCTTCACAAATTAATTAGTTAGTGAGATCCAAGAAACCTTATTAGAAATGCTATGGGGATTGGATTATGTACAAAAATTATTGTTGAAGATAAAATTCACAATAACATTAATCATAAACAAATTTTAGATAATATAAATAAAATGTAGCTCCTTTCAAATTTTCTAATGCAGTCTGGTTTGTTCATCTAAAAAAAATGAAACATACAAAACCAAATATTCCTCCCCACCATTCCTCATCCTGTATTCACTACATGGTACTAAATCTCTTTACTCAATCTTTTTAGTAGCATATAGTGATTGCAGTGGTAAGGATTCATTTGGCCATGATATCAAAATTATCCTCATAAAATTAATTCACTACCAAACATGCTTTCTCAAACAAACACACTAATAAATAAATCAATACTTTCATGTCATCTCTCTAAGATAAATCAAGAACCAGACTCTCTGACTAGAGATCAGACATAATTATATTGTCTCTCTTGACCACGACTCAACACACCCTTATCACAAACTAAATTTGGGGGAATTGTGGTCTTTTAGTGCCTACAGGATATGACTCTTTTAAAGAGGTTGACGGGCCCTGCTGTGAGTAAGGAGAATCAGACACAGCCACGGGCACACACATACCGCAGACATGAAAAGTGTGGATTGACTTTGAGGAAACAGGACCACAAGGTCAAAGCCCTTCTTGGGAATTTCCTACCTCCTCATAGTATCTGCGCTCTTCCTCTTCCACCTCCTTTTGGGCCTTTTCCCACTCTTCTTTCAGCTTGTCCTGCTCCTTCTGGTATCTCTCCTGTTACAGAATTTCCAGAGACTGTTCTGAACTGACCATTGCATGCATCGTTGGGATTGTTGCCCCCTCTAAACCACCGTGTATCGTGTTGTGAGACTATGTCCTCGTAACACTCTGAATCTAATCCCTTCATGCGGCACAAGGGAATGCTATTTTGTGGTACTCGAACATGTTAGGGACCTAAAAATACGAAGGAGAACAATACATGGTGGGGCAAAAAAGCACAGGTTTATGGTTGTTCATATGGCAAATAATACAATAATTAATACATAAAAATATAAGAGTAACCTGTTTCACATACTCACAACTGTAAACCTTTTGCCCCACCTTGTCTTTTCTGCTGTTGTTTTATAGAATTGCTGTTCAGACATATGAGTAGGCATTGCTCACAGAAAGAGAAAAGAGGAAAAGATTGAAAGATTCTAAAATCTTCCTTCACTTGGGCTTTGTCCTGGGAGGTAGGCTAAACCAATAGTTTGCTTTTTACTGGGCTTTTCAGAGATGAGTTTTGCCATTCTGCTAATAGAAATATGTTTGTTGCTGGGACAGCTTAATAAAAGATTAAAAACAAAAAACAAAAAAACAACCTTTGCAGAAAGGTCGAAAGTGGACAAGATGATAATTAGCTGAGTAGCTGAATTACTCTTTGCTTGTAGCCATTCTACCAAAATGGAATCTTCTCAGCTTTAAGTAACTTCTGAATTAAGAGGAGCTTTTAAACAGCCCATTAGAAGGCTTCAAATCAGAAGTGCCATTACTGTTTCCAGAAATAATACAACACTAGTCACCACTTCAGGGGAAAAAGAATAAAATACTCTGAATAAGAACAGCTTTAAAAATTGCGACTGGAGCTCCTGACAGCTGACTAGAAGAAATGAACAAACGGAGATTAAAATTAATGCCTAAAATGAGAACTGACACGCTGGATGCCTTGGGGACGGCATCCCTGACGTGACAGAGACAGAGGAGTCGCCGAAGTGTATGACATACAGTCAAATATTTTGGTCTAGTTACTGTCAATCCTCTCTCTGAGGCTCAAACAAGTCTGTGCTTTTTTTCTTTTCTTCTTCTTTTTTTAATCTTCCGGGGAGGCACTGAGGTCTCCTCTAGGTCTCCTCTAGGTCTCCTCTGTTATGTCAGTATCGTAGGAGCAAAAGAAAGGGTTTTCTTGGGATTGTCCAGAGCCTGATGTTCTTAGGAACGTTCGGCAAAACCATGGCTGTTTAACCTACCCCAGGCTTTTCATTCCAGGTGAGAATTTTGTTACCAAAACCTAATGTTGTAAAGTTTTAGAAAGAAACTTCAGGGGCTTTTCAAATAGCGAATATGAACCTCAAAACTTCACAGAAGCTGAAAGCCAAGCACAGTGTTTTAGGTTTATTGGTTCTAGAAGCTCATGTCACGTGCTCCCGCCCCAAGGGGCTGCGCCGAGAACAGTAAGGCCGCGAGTGCAAGGCGTGCGTCTGCACCCCTCCCTCCTTCTCCACGGACGCCTGTCCCGAAACCACGCCCACCGCGCCGCCGCACTGGGCAACAATTCGGTGGGACAGGAACACGGCATATGCCTGTGACCGTGACAGTGGTCACCTTTCAGAGTGTAACGGACAGAGTGCCACTGTGGAAAGCATATTTCTCTGTTGTCTTTACTCTGAGGCACTTTCTCTCTCCTGGCCGATCACCACTCAGCTGGAAAATGGGCATCTGACTCCCAGGAGAACAGCAGTTGTCCAGGGCTGGTCTGGGGCTTCCCAAAGGACATGAAAGTCCCAACAGCTCCTGGATTTTGTTGAACCTGGTTCTTACTAATGTTCTGATATTGAAGATTTACCTCCATGCAATTTTGAAGAGCATCAACTGTAACGGGCTGACCTGACGCCACACTATACAAATGGTTAGCTGTCTAAACTGACCCCTGCTCCCCGCCCCTGGGTATTAAGCCAAAAGGATTAGAACAAAAAGATTTTTTTTAAAAAAGTAACATAAACTTGCATTAAGCATTGTTTTCTACACAGCAGCAGAAAGCCATCAAAATTAATGAGATTTAAAATGCTTCTTATTTATGATTTTTTGGTAGAATCAGTACTATTGGGGGTATAGTGGAAAGAACATGAGTTGTGTGTGTATGTGTGTGTGTGTGTGTGTGTGTGTGTTTAGGGAGAGAGGGAGGGAGGAGAAAGAGAGGGAGAGAAACACTGATGTGAGAGAGAAACACCGATCTCTTGCCTCTCACCTGCCCCCAGCCAGGGACCAGGCCCTCAACCCAGGCATGGGCCCCGACCAGGAACCAAACTGGTAACCTTCCACTTCGCAGGACGATGCCCAAACAACTGAGCCGTGCCAGTCAGGGCATGGAAAGAACAGAGTTTTAAAGTCATCCAGACTTAGATTTGAAATCAAGCTCAGCCCTTGTTAGCTGTGTGACCTTGGGCAATGAATTTAACTTCTTTGAGCCTTAGGTCTTCAATTGCAAAGTAAGGCTAATAAGACAGACTTTGAAGAATTTTATTAGAATTAAATTAGATAAAATATGTCAAACACCAATCACAGTTCCTGGCACATCCCAAATACTCAGCATAGGTTAGTGCCTAAGGTTATTAGGTTCCTTTCTGAAGCCCTGTTACTCCACAAAAGTGGCCTGAAACAACTAGGAACATGATAACGTTTACTCCCAGAATTTTTCTAGAACTGAAAATTGGCAGCTTTTACTCAAAGAGGGAGCAAACATTTCTACTCAAGAAGCAAGAAGCTAGGCCAAATTTTATTTCACATGTATGCTTTCAAGAAGCTTTTTGACAATTCATTCCCATTGCTCCTGGACTGGATTTCCCCGGGAACTATGGGGGTGGTGGATGCCTGGCTCGGCCCTTCATCAATACTGGGAGGTTGTTCACTATTTTTTTTTTTTTGAGTGAAATCCTTTTTCCCTGTGTCCATCATTGCAACCTCTGGAAGGAGGAGTTAGACAGGGCATTTTGTCACAGGGATGCAAAATGAACTGACAGCCTCATTGACTTCTGAGAAGAATTCAATTCCATGTGTTTCCTGTGCTAAAAATCTATTTCCTTACAGAAGGAATTAGGAGAGCATCATCTAGGAAAGAAAAGATAAGAAAAGAAAAGAAAGGAAAAGAAAAGGAAAGAAAAAAAGGCAAGAAAAGAAAAAAGAAAAGAAAAGAAAAGAAGAAAAGAAAAGAAAAAGAAAAGAGAAAAGAAAAGGCAACAAACCCAGCCGTCCTACCTGGAGCAAACGTTCCTGCTCCTGTTGCCATTTTTCCTGTCGCCTGCGCTCCTCTTCCGGGTCCCATGCCCAGAACTTAAACTGCTTAGAAAATAAAAACATGATCAGAATTGAGCCATGTCCTCAAGGCCTGGCCAGGGAAAGAGACACAGTCAGCCTACGGGCTGGCACTGGTATGGACACACAGAAGCAGAGGCCGCATGTGTCTTCATGTATCTTTGTTGGCAGCCACCACTTTTTAATCTTAGTCCCTCTTTGGTTTACTTCCAAGAGGCTGATAGAATTCTGTGAACCTTTTTGGAGCTAATGAAAACACGAAGTAATTAGCCCCTGGCACGGGCAGGCTTTTGCTTCATTTCTTTTATAAGTGACTTCTTAAACCTATTCACGCGCTCGAGCGTCAGATACTCTTTCTGCATATTGATCCTGGGTCTGAGCAAATGGGAATGCTTATTTCAGCAGAACTGCATTTTGTCAGACGTGCTGTTTGCTGCACTGCAGAACTACGTCATCCATTAGACCGCGCTTGGTCCCCACACCAACCTTCTCTGAAGTGGGCTAGCTCACCATGGCCCACTGGCATCACTGACATCCACGCGAGGGGGCGTTCCTGCCCTGGGTCCCGCACATGGAACAAACATTCAAACCCAAAAAGGCCTTTTTTTTTTTTTTTTTGGTAATTTTAAGAAATGCGTTTGTGAGTTTGCGAACAAAGTCAGTGAATGGAAATAATGGAATAAAAATGTATGAGTCAAAGTGGGCACGCAGGCCACAGGGTATAAGATTGAGAGGATCCAGGGGCAGGAGAAATCCCAGTGGGTCCCTGGGAAACCACAAAAGGGGGCTGCCGAGTTTAAAGCTGGCCTCCCTGGCCACCCGGGGTAGGTGCCAAGGCAAACCAGGTTCCCCAGTAATTGTACTTCCTCCCTTCCTCCTGATGAGGAAATGTTTGGAGACACTTAGAACTGCTTGGGGATCTTGAAAGAAAAAGTAAGGTGAGGGTGGGGGAGTTAGGGAGAAAGGGGAGAGTCAGGGGTGGGTGGGGAGCAGGCAGAACCTACCTACCCTGGCTGCCTGTGGAGCTGGACAGAGTTTATCTGGCCCAGGGTTTAGATGGGTCGCGTTACTGCCTGAGATGCCTGCGCGATCCCACCTCCACGCCGCCCTGCCCCCCGCAGATCTGCACAAGACCCAGGTGCATGGCCCCTCGGCTGGCATCTCCAGGATGGGACTAAAGGCCAGGCCATGGGTGTCGCTTGATTTATAACTATAAATATTTATAACTTTAATATATTTAGACATATGATTGGCACTCTTGCTGTAGTTCTTGAAAATGTTGGGGTGGCCAAGAAGAGCTGCAGCAAGGAGAGCAGGTGAGGTGGGGAAGTGCACTTCCTCCACGCCCCTCGTGGGATTCACACGGCACATGGGCAGACTGAAGGCTCTCACAATTTATGCAGGGCAAACCCATGAATTGGATATAACCTAAGGCTGCCCAGATTTCCTTGGATGACCAGAAAATATCATCCAGATGTGAATCCCAGGTAAGAAGTTCTAATGGGCCAATACTGTTGGATCCCGGCTCTACCGGGCACTTTCCAAAGGCTTTCAAGCAGTTGAAATGTTCTGAACCTCAGGAGCACAGCCCTTCTTTGTGTTTCGAGGGAAAGGGGGTATGGTCATGTGAATGAAGCCATAAGGAGCCCAACAGGGGGAAGTTTACTAGTAGGAAAATAAAAGAAACAATGAGGACTTATTTAATTTTCAGGTGTCTCGAGGTAGTAACTGCAAGAACAAGCCAAGTAAAGAGTAAGCAGATAGGAGGAGGGGACATGAGGTAGGGGACTTAAGCTCAGAAGAAAATACAAAATATTTGTTAAAAAGCAAGAGAGATAGAAAAAAAAAATAAGCCTTTTCAGAGGAAGATACCAGTGTAATAAACAAGAGGGAAAGGACAGAGAGCATGTTCCTTGGCAATATTTGATGAGCACTTAATATGGGCCAGGTGGGCATACGAGCCGGCTAAGGGTCTCAGAGCTGTGGCGCTTACAACGGGCAGTGTGAGCGTGAGTGTGGTGAGTGACAGGGTGGGGCCATGTGACCAAATATATAAATGATCACCAGGAGGCACTGGGAAAACTATCATTAAGAAAACAGAAGAGGCGCTAGACAAAGTTGAAATAGAGAGCATGAAGCCCGCTTTGTGCTGTAATTTGTCTTTTTGCAGATAGGTGTCTTCCTTTGCCTTAGGGGTTCCTGAAGGCAAAGGGAGGGCCCTTTATCCCCCTAAGTATCCCAAGACCTTGCATTTTCAGGCCTTCCCCAAATGCCTGCTGAATAAATGAATGGGCCCTGTGCTGGACGATGCATCTCCTCTTCTCTCTCCTGCACAGACCCTGACCCTATAGCTTCAGGCCACTCCAAGGCTGACCAAACATGGCCTGGGTCTACTGAGGTCAGCATACTCAAATGCATACTTCTCTTTAAGCGTCTCTCTCTCTCTCCTTTCTGAAATTTCTTTTGTTTTTCTATTCTATGAAGAGCTATTTGACACGGAAAGAATTTCAAATTTGGGTGGGTATTTTCAGGGAATTCACTTAAAATAGGTCAGTAATTTGTTTCTTTCTTGTTCTGTTTTCCATAAACAGAAATAAGAATGTATCTTTTCAGGGTGCCCTTCCTTTACACCCCTGCCCAGGGGGTACAAGAACAAGGCGGCATTAAATGGAAATCAATGGGCTAGGTTGTACTCTTCAGATCTGTGCCATGGAGGCGAGCTGTGGGGTCCTTCTGGGCTTCACAGCCCCTGCGGCTGTACTCGGCTCCCCAGGAAACTCAAGATTCCCAGTGTTGCCTGAGACCGAGCCTCCACAAATATCTGGAAAGTGCCTATAGATATTGAGGGTTATGTGACATATGGGTCCCTTCTCCATTCTGCCCAGGCACTTAGGAATTCCCAAAGGGAGGCAATTTACTTATAGGTAAGGACTGGTCCTGGTGATGGCGGGCCTCTTGGATGAGCCACCGGGGAGGATCTGTTCATGTTATTGGGTACTGTGCTAGGGACTTCTAAATGATTATTTCAGTTAAGGCTCACAACACCCTGAAGGAAAGGTATTATTATCTCATTGTATAGTCGAGGAAGACAAGGTCCAGAGAAGGTCGGTAACACCTGCAGGGTCATACTGTTAGTAACCTGGAATCAAAGGCACAACAGCGGTTGTGCAGCCACACCCGTGGGGCTCTCCGCCACAGCTGATGCTGCCACGGAGGAATCCGACAGATCTGTGGGCACTGCAGAGGGCGACCTCGGGTGGCAGGTCCAGCGCTGCACGCACTCAGTTTAGAAAACAGGTCTGTCGACAGTGTGTTCAGCCAAAATTGAGCAGCATGGACTTGGACAGCGTCACGTGTCTTGACATTTTAATTATCAAATTTTTTTTTACCTCATTGAAATAAAACATTGAAAACTAAATGTATGGTTACTATTACTCAAGACACTAATTGTGACAAGAGGTGGAACAAAGATGGCTTGGGTGTCCCGGAAAGAGAGCAGGCTGGGCCCTGTTGCCAACATACATTATGCTGAAGTATTGTCCTCATTTAAAAAAACGATTTTGAGTGCTTACAGAAGTTGTATATTTTAATACTAATCCCTATTGTCATATGCATTTTAATTGCTTCTTTCATATTTTACTTTCCCAACTCATCCTTTTGTTTCCGGATCACAAGCCCCCATAATGATAACCCACGTCACGTCTTCATAATTCACCAGGCATGACTTTCAATTATTCTTTTACAATTAATTGTTTGAAGCCCATTTTTGACTGAATCCTCTTCCAGTGAATCAAATACCCTGTAATTACAATCACACTAAATGCATGACTTTATTCCTTAAAATGAGTCACTTACAGGTGTAGTTGCAGGTGACTTTTCACTGCTTGGAGAATCGACTGTACAGAAAAAAAGAAAAAAAGGATCACAGTGTGAGTAGCTTCTTACTGTGTTTCTCTTTGATCCCTGCAGTGGCCTGTGGTTCCTATGTCAGCTTCAGACCATTTTTTTTTTGTAAGCCAAGAGCATTAGAAAATTATAATAAAGCAGGCCCCTGAAGCAGCTGGTACCCGTCACCAGAAGTAGTCACAACCAGTGTAATATGATTGATCATGTCAATTAGCACCAAGTACTAGACTAGAGGAAGGAAGCAAAATCTATTCCTACTAGTGCTGGTTTTTAATGCACTTTGCATCCCGGCTTGATTGACAGTTCCCTCCCTGTCTGACATGGACACAGAGAGGCCAGATGTCACCCAGGAAGTAGAAAGAGTGACACAGTTAACAAGAGAACCATGTTCCTGGTAAACTCTTCTAATCTTTGTTTAAAAAAAAAAAAAGAAGGGGGCAATAAATAGGTGAATATTATTATTTCTTTGGATTTTCAAAATCAAAGTAAAGTTCTGGGAATTCCCCCTCCTCCTCCCCCCCAATTTTAGTATAACTGGTACTGGTATCAAAGAACTAGCTCTTTGCTAACTGTGTGCCAGAAACAAGCATTTTTTTTTTTTCTGAAATCAGGAGTAAAGAAAAATACCAAACATTATTGGTTGCCGGCAACATGGACTTTTGCACAAAAGGAAGACAGCTGGCCAGTATGCATTTTACCTGACTGGGAGAAAAACTGGGAGCGTCGCCAAGAGTTCTGAACTCTAAGCGGAACGCCAGCAGTGCCAGGTGACTCTAGATCAGATGGCAGAACAGAACAAACAGAAAATCATGAAAACGAGGCTGAGTTACATAGAACCACGCTCCCACGTCCCAGGTCCAGGCCTGGCTATACAAGAACTGAGAGTGAAAGAATCTAGAGTGTAAAATATCTCAGTGAAACTCATACACAACCTGAAGACATGGGCAAAAGTCAACAGAAATGAGAAAGTTTGTGCTGTTGTCTATCTTCTTTGCTGTTAGGTGAAATTTGATAGGCTCCTACCTCATGGTGATATTGTTAAAATGTTGAATCTCTCAAAATAATGAGATGATACACTATGAAAGAGCACAATGTGCAGTGTGCATTGCTTTTGAAGAACACTAGAAAAATATAAAAGACAGCTGGGGTGAGTTCAATTATTATTTATACACTTTATAGAGGTTATGTATGAAGTCTGCAGCAGAAGTTACATATGTGGAACGAAAGGATGTGTGTGTCTGTGTGCCATGTGATGGCGTCAAGCAGACACAGAAGCTCATTTGCATCCTTAAACTAGCGTTGCACCGGTCTGTCATTGTTCTCAATGCAAATAAGACATCGGTGGTTAAGATGTGCACAGATTTTCCTGAAACACCAATTTGAGATAGCTTTCTACTGCTGGGAGACAGTTGAGAAAAGGAAGTTTGTGAACTTTAAATGTATATTATACAGGTTTTCAGAGTATTTAAAGACTGCTTATGCATGTGTGTACGTTTAAGGGGAGTCTGTGGAGCACCACCAGGCCCGGCTGCAGATCCTCACTGGCTGGTAGGATCAGTCTACGAACCGACGGCTTTATGGGAATGGGGGGCTAGCACTGTCTGTGGGAGGGGGGGGAGTGTTGGGCAGGGCTCCAGGATTCCCCAGCCTCACCTGATAGCTCCTTTGGACTTGCCCTGCAACCTCAGACTAGCCATGTAAAGATGCATTGACTTTTTATACCTGAGCAAAGTCCTGTACTTTCCCTGTTCCTCCAATTAAAGACAAATTATATCTTTTAAGGTTACATTTATTAGAGGCCTTTTGCTTCTTGAAAGATAGAAATTTACACACTTCAAACAAGTATTGCTTTTCTAAAAAATATCTATGGGCGATACCGTTGGAGCACAATTTAAACATAGGAGGTATATTTCAAGTCAGTGGTTTTTAGAGTGTGGTCCCTGGATCTGGGGCATTGGCCTCCCACTGGGAAGCTGTTAGAAATGCAAATACTAAGGCCCCATCCCGGGCAAACTCAGTGGGACACTGGGGGCGGGGGGCAGGGCCCTGGGGTAGAGATCTGCGCTTTATCCCATCCTGGGGGTGGGGGGGACCCTGGCACATACTCATGTTTGAAAATTACTCAAATTCCAATCTCTGCAATATAAACACTTTTATTATGAGGAAAGCATTTAGAATAGTTTCCTACTGCCTGGCATCATACTCTATGCTTCTATTGCTCCTATTCTATCACTTCTAGATTATTATTGGTGCTTATTCTGGGGCAGGTGTTGAGCTAAACATTTTTTTTTAAATTTCTCTCATTTAATTGAACCCCTATGAGATTGGTACTCTTAGTATTTCCTGTTTACCGGTGACGATTAGAGATGAGGGAGAATTTCATGGGCTAGAGCTAGATGAGTAAGAATTTGAATCCAGGTGTTCTGTCTCTAGAGCCTCAACTGTAATTACAGCTTCCATGAACCAGACCAAGTACAGAATAGGTATACCAAATAAAATTTTATCCTGAAGAATAACTTTTGAAATGCTCTAGTGCTACCAAATTTTATCTTTTAATCACTCAATTTAAATATAGCATGAAGTCCCTTATTCAACAGCACATTTTACAATCAAAATATCTTACAACAGACAGTGGAACATAAAAATATAGAAGACAATAAAACTAATTAATATCGCTTAACATATCTATCTCCTCTCTATGTTACTTATCTATATAATTACAAAGTGCTAGAAACAGGGCAGAAATTAAATTTGTCTAAATGTGACCAATTGCTGGCCCAATTAGGGGACTGTTTTTGTCAGTTTCCTTCAGAACAGTGAGACTGAAAAATTTAAAACAAATGTTTTGAAGACAGTATTGAACTTGCTTCCACATTAAGAAACTAATGATCATCGGTGTGTGTACCAATTTAATTCCCTCCCGAGCACCCCCAGCTGTGCAGAGAAAGCCCCACTTCTTTCCTCGGCTTCAATGAAAGGCTACGGAAGCCAGCTCAGATTCTGCCCCAATTAGCTGACCACCCTTTAAAGAAAAGTAAGAATAGATCCCCAGCCACCATGTACCTGTACCATCCTCTCTTTGCCTAGACTGATAAATCTATAAAATATACCAGGGAAAGTACATTAAAAAAAGAACACAAGAAAACTTACAGTTCTTGCCTCCTGAACTCTAGCTGTTTCCCTATCTAGAAAGAGGACTCACACCAGTAAAGCCCAGTGGTCTGTTTTGAAGAACAGTCCCTATAGATCATGGATTTCTCAGGGCCCATCCCCCCGCCGTTCACATCTTTAAGGCTCCTTTTGGTGTCATTGTGGGCACCTTGATCTCTCACCAGGACAAAAGGATTCAAGGTGGGCTCTTTAAGAAAAAAAGGGGAAAATTCATAACCTATAGATGGCCTAAAAGGTACTTGGGAGTTTGCAGTGGTGAATGCCACTTAAAAACCTCCATAGGCCCTAAACTCCTATATTTCTAGAGGCCACCCCACCACATATTACATAGAACGTAAGAAACATATTAAAATACATTCGTAGCATATATTTATATATATCTACATGTAGATATGTATATACATATATATTCTTGTTATAAAAATTTTTGGAAAGGTTAAAGTATTTGGTTATGAGCGATACGTTTAATCTATGATTGTGAATGATTTCTCTGTGCACACCCAATAATCACTACGAAGTAAGAAAGTCTGACTTTCTTCTAAAATCACTGTCAAGTGGATCTTTTATAAAGACTAGATAATTAACCATTAATGAAGATGATATACTACTAAGATTATAAACTTAGAGTTACGGATTTTGTATTTAAAAAAAAACATTTTGGAGCCAATACAATTATTTTAAGGTATCAAACACTTGCGTAGGCCTTATCGTGCCTATAGTGCCTAGATGACAAAATGGCCGTGGTGGCTGCGGTCCTTGGCTAGGCCAGATAGAGGACGCAGCCCCCAAAGTCTATTCTGAACTTATTAAGTCAGCCATCATGGACTCTGGCAAACACCATGACTAAAGGGACTTCCACACAAAGGAGGTAATCTTCCTTCAAACTGAAGAATATTTTACTACAGATGGGCCCAGGAGAACATGTAAAACTAAAATAAAACATTTCTTTCTCTTTACCTTGAGAATTGAGATTTGGCAAATGTAACTGGTTGGTTTCAGGCATTTTGTCCAGAAATGGAAACGTCAGCGTTGCTTCTGGTTCTGGAGATTTTGGCTTTACCACCTGGATCATGAGCAACAGATATAAACATGGCAAGTATTGTCTATTAATAAATATACAGGTGAAATGAAATTAAAGAGTTCATAACTATTCCATAAGTCAATATGTCCAAACATTTAACTTTTAAACGGGGAATTTCCCTCACGGTCCTATCCCTCTTTGTGTTTTCTACTTTAACATACTGGTCAATTTTTCAGAGAAATCAAATGAAAACATAAAAATTTGATGATCACTTTTCTCCACACCCAGAAAATAGAATTCCATCTTTGGGATTATACACCATTCTGTCTCATTTTCTCATTGATCAATCACATATTTTCTTCCTGATACTACATCACACTGAATTTATAATTTCAGGCTGTGAGATTTTCCATATACGATTTTAAAAAATCTTACCATGTAAATGTTAAATACGAAAGTAATATTACCTTCTAATGGACCTTATTCTCAAGATACTACACATTCCCCCCCCTTCCAAGAAATTTATGCAAAGCACATTGAAGATAATATACTTTGTCTGTTGACATAAAAGCATTACTATAAATAGACATTATAAAACAGCACCATACAATAATGTCCGTTGGGGATTTTTGAGGCATGTTAGATTACTTGTCCTATGGTAAATAGTCCTCAAGTTACAGGCTTTACAAATTCTCATGTTTGCTTTGTAAAAATAGAATTTTCCTGTTATTACTATTTAATTTTATTTTGTTTTTCCTTAATCTGAATGGCCTTTAGTAGAAGCACGTTTTATCTGATTTGTTGTTTCTCATCAACTGATTGCTAAAAGACCAGATTACCACGCGAATGTCTACAATGAAAATCAGTAGACTCTGAGCAAAGATCTAACTGAAGAGCAGGGCTATATCAGTTCTCGTCCTTTCAGCTGCTTACAGGACTTCCTCTCATTCACTCTGGCTGGTGGCTGTGTCCCCAACAAATTAATTTGATAGCCAATAAGGCAACTGAGGTTATAGAGAGAACGCTTGTTTCATCATTAGTGGATCTATGATTTGGTCCTCTGGATGATTTAATATCTAGAATTTCTTCTTGGTAGGATTTTATTTTTCCTGAAGAAAATATAGTTAATCACTTCATTCTGCATTATAGAGGTCAACCAGATGTCCAAGTGAACTTCAGTGTTAAATAAACATGCAGCAAGTTGACAACCCTCTCATCTTGACCTCATACCATTTCCTCTATACTCAAGCCTGATAAAAACATGTTTCAGTTAATGCCCAGTTGTAAATGAAACAGTTCATAGTCAGCAGAAATGCTCAAAATGATCACTACATAAAAAGGTCAATTTGTGTGCATGGGTACTTTGCAACACTCTGAAGTGAAGTCAGAAAATAAAAGCTGTTGAGATCACTGTGATCATCTTTCTCCCTTTTTGAAAGAGCTAACAGAACAGTGGGGAAAGGAGAGAGGGGAGAAATTCACATGGTGTGAGAAATGCAGTGAGTTCAAAGGTCATTATTACACTTGCTAATCAGCTAGTAGAAATTCTTAATCTGGAATCCACAGGACAGAATTCAGGGGCTGTATGTACTTAGTACCACCTGATACCAAGAAAAACAGGGTAATTCTGTGCACTTTATGCTTTAACAATATTATTCTGAGAATAAGGTTTACCAGATAGCCAAGGGTCCAAAGCCGTTTTGTGTCGGCAAACCTGCATGCACACGCACAGTTAAGAACCCCTGAAAACAATGTTTTTCTTCTATAGGGCAGATATGACACTGGTGGTCCAAAGATAGATTACAGATGAGGCTTATAGACGAGGTATGCAGATGAACACTTTTTAGTTATGGCATTCATTCTGCTTGATTAAAAATGTTCTAACTATGAAATAGAGTGTTTATTTCAGTTTAGACATAAATGGAACAAAAAGTCAATTTGGAAGAATGATAAGTGGTGGTTACAAGTATAACACAGATAAGGCAAAACCTGCAGATAGGAAAGTCTGCCTGCCCCCAATATTTTTCCTACAGTTTACTTCCTCTTTTCAGACCACCAGAGCACTCCTGAATTCTCCGTGTATGTAGTAAATGGGCAATAGCTAGATCCTGAAATTTACAAAAAGCATTAAGGCAACAGGCATTTTTGAGGCTCTACGAGGACACAGCACTCTCACCTCCTGAAAGCCTGGGCTATATATTGTTCACTGGTGAATATCCAGTGTCTAACACAATGCCCAGCACATAGTAGGTGCACAGTCAATATTGGTTGACTAACTGCTGTATGAACCAGATGTAGAAGTGGTAAATTTTCTACTCTAAAGCCAAATCCAGACTTAAGGTTAATTTTGAAAGTAGAAATGTCATCATATGCACATTAGTATGCCCACGTGCAGCTCAGTGTTTCTCTATCTTGGTAGCCCATTAGTATCACATGGGTAGCTTTAAAAAATGCATATGCCTGGGCCCTGCCCCCTGAAATTCTGAGTGATTTGAGTTGGGTTATGCTTGGTACATTTTTAAGTTCTGAAGGGTAGCCAAGGTTGAGAACAATTGGTATTGAAGATGAAGACTTTCAGACTCTATGTCTGAAAACAAACCAAATTATTAAGAAGAGGGTGATGCTCCAAAGAAAGAAGAAATTTAATCAAAAGATGATGTTAAAACCTATTATCTCAGCACAATAAGCTTCTGGTTTCCTTGTCATTCCAATCTAGAGGCATCAGAAGTATGCTGATATAAAATAGCTAAATATGGGAAAGAGAATCTTTAGTAAGCTGAAAACAAGCATGCTCATACACAACCAAAACCTAACTGCAAAGCTTAATAACTTATATGAACATCGCATTTAAAAAATACATACAACTCTTAATAACTAAAAATTGTTTCAAGTAAAAGATGTAGAAGAAATACATATATCCATATACCAATTATTACTAATAGAGAGGTAGATTTCGGTGACTTTTTCTCGCTCTTGCTCTATGTCTATGTTTGCTTATTTAGATATCACATAAAATGAATGTAGCTATATATTACTTAATAAATTTGTTATATAGTGTACATCACTGTAAGTTTAAAAAATATATAGCTATAGATGGAATGTTTGTGCCCCCCCGTAAGTTCCTATGTTGAAACTCTAACCCCCAAGGTGATGGTGTTACAAAGGTAGGAGGCAATTAGGTCAGGGGGGCAGAATCCTCAGGAGTGGGATTAGTGACTTTATAAAAGAGACCCCAGAGAGCTCCTCGCCCCTTCTGTCAAGTGAGGACATAGTGAGAAGATGTCCAGCTATGAACTAGGCAGTGGGTTCTCACCACACATGAAAGCTGCCATGATCTTGAACTTCCCAGCCTCCAGAACAGTGAGAAATCAGTGTCGGTCATTTATAAGCCACCCAATCTATGGCATTCTGTTATAGCAGCCCAAGTGGACAAATACATTTATTTTTCCATATGTATTTAAGTTATTTACAATGAACATGTAGTACATTTGTATTTAGAAAAAACACAGGTTAAAGATAGAAAAAAGACGGGAAGAGAAAATAAACCTTCATTAGGAACAAGTGCCACAAGCAGCAGCCAGCTGCCATATCAAGGCGCACTAATTTAAATTCAACTGCTTTAACCCATTAGGTAATTCACCTTTTGCGACAGCACCAACTCCACCTTTCCACTCATTTCATTTTCTGGTTTCTTCTGGTCGTCTTCTTCTGGCACATTGTTCTTCAGCTTGGGGCTGGAGGCAATCTCCACCAAGGCCACGGTCGCGCTGGATCGAGTCACAGTGGTTGTAAAATGCTGTGGCTCTGAAATGGAGTTATATCCAGAAACATAAAGAAGTTGAATCATTGTGTGATGAGATGTATAAAAGAGCCTAAGATGCCAGAATTCTCTAGGCTCTTTCATGATATTACAAAAAAGAAAAAAATCAAGCACATAAAACACATCAAAGAATCCCACTATATCAAAAACTTAAGTTCCTACTGAGAGTCAGAGTTGGCGTATGAGTAACGCTACATGAAACAAAATGCTGACACGAAATATTATGATAGGCGGGTTGGGTGGACGAGCATCGCCAGATGATTTCCATCCGAAGGCCTGAGTGGCAGCCTGACTCAGCCTTCCGTATTTCTATGTTCCTTTCCTCATCACATTTTCGTAATTGGAATGTGTGAGGGGCTGCATGGCGCACCCTGTGTGATGAAAACCAAGTGTTCTTTGATGTCTAGAGAGAGGATAAGGCCCACTGTAGAGTGGGTGGAAAAGTCACCACCTGAGGGGCATTTCAAAATGAGGAGGTGCAATCTAGTTTGAAATTTTTAGCAATGATATTTAATTTATTCTAACGAGTCATTTAACAATAACTTGGAATTCGAAGAGGGTGAGAGACTTTTATGTTTACCAAAAGAATAAATGTGTTACAACTATTGAAAAATATTAATTCAGGAAACACTAGGTCTCTTCATGCTCACTGTCCATATTACTTTATTCTTTCAGACTATTATTCAACAGCTTTATTATTTCAGTATCTATTTTATGATATATTTCTTATCTATTCCTTATATAGTGTCGTTACTATATGTTAAAATATGACCCTCAGTTATTATCATTATTTATTTGGAGCAATATAATCTTATTTTTGATGATGGAGATTAAAAAATCAAAATAAAGCCAAATTTATAGTCAGAATTTCCCCAATAATCCTCTAGGTGGCAGCACAACCCCACAAGTTTTAGAACCTGAGTTTCTGCTGCTCAGGAGCAATTCTTGATTATTTCCATTATATCAGTATCTTAAGAGTTATTATGATTTTCCTTACAACTAGTCTGTTAGGAAACAAACCTGATGAGGCAAGTTCTGTATTCCCTTCTTCTGGTTTTTCACCATCAATCTTGTCTTCTTGACTGTTCGGTTCAATTTCTTCAGTGGTTGCCTGAAAAAAAAGATTTTTATGTCCCCTTGAATAAATAATCCCTTTGAAAGTTCTAAAAGGTAAAGGATTACTTTCTCTTTTTTTTCAAACAGTACTATGTAGGCCAATGAGGGGAGCTGCCTATAGGAATTCATTCTTTTCTATTTCTTAGGCAGCTTTACGGTGAAGGGCTGGCTTTGTCGGGAGACCCCCTCTGAAGGGGAACAGAGGTGCTGAAGCAGCGGCGCGGGTCCACACGCACGAGCCCCCTCCCCTCATCGTCTGCCTGCCTCAGGGGCACATTCCCGTTTTGTCCTTCCTTTCACCCAGTTACCCCAAATCACTACCCACCTGCTTCCAAAACCCTTTAAAGTTGGCTTAGGGTCATAGCAGCAGTGGGAAATGTTTTGTTCTTGTTGTTAAGGTTACAAGTAACGCTTGTCTTCGGCATGGATGCCCGTGGCTGTTAGCATTGTAAAATATATTCTGGATGTTCTTCTCCTTCCTAGGCTCTCAACGACTCTGTTACTGAAGTTCTGATTTTCTCATTCATTCTCTTTCTCTCTGAGCTTTTACCAGTTCTTATTCCTTTTCTTTTCATAAAAATACAGGTGACTCCTAAAAACTTCCAACTGTTTTCCCCACCCTGTGCTGAATTACACTCAAATGTATAATATCAATTATTCCCATGGGTTCACCATTATGTTCTTTATCCATTCATGAATTGGGCTTTCATCTCTAATCCCTAGAGTCCATCAAAGCTTCAGTTTGGCTGACCTACCGTCATTGTCATGGTAAATGGCTCACACCCAACTCGCTAAATGTTATCCTCAGACAAGCCTCTCTCCCAAATCTGATGAGTTCTGTCATGGCATTAATTTTCCCCATCACACAAATTTAACTTTGAAGTGTCTTGTGACTCAGACCTCATGAGTGTCCATCATTTGCCGAGTCCTGCCCAGGTTCTAATACAATAGTTTTCATATCCATCTCTCCCTTTCTGTTTTTACAGCTAGGCTGAATTTTGCCTTTACTGCCATGTTCTCTCACTAAGTTTGGATCTTGCTGTGTAACTCACTTGGCACATTACCATGATGTTCATCTCTCTCAGAAGCACCTCAGTTTATCAGTTTTATGCTTGTGTTCTTCTCTTTCAGTATAGTACCTCAAGTGTATCAGCTTAATGCTCAATGGAATTTACTGCATTAAAAAAAAGTGGAGCCCTGGCTGGTGTGGCTCAGTGGACTGAGTGCCGGTCTGCGAACCAAAGGGTCGCCGGTTCCATTCCCGGCCCAGGGCACATGGCTGGGTTGCGGGATGGGTCCCCGCTGCGGGGCGTGCAGGAGGCAACCACACGTTGATGTTTCCCTCCTTGTTCTCTCTCCCTTCCCTTCTCTAAAAATAAATAAATAAATAAATAAATAAAAATGTTTAAAACAAAGTGGAACTTAAATGTCCCACAACTGAGGAATGGTGAAATTAATTATTACTGTATGTTCAAAACAGGAAATATCATGCATAAATACATAAATATTCCTGTTAATACATACATAAGACAGTAAGGAAACATATTAAAATGGTAATAGTGGTTATCTTTAATGTGCTTACATTTTGGATGACTTTTTCAAATATATATATTTTCTGTATTCCAAAATGTTCTACAATGACCATGTATTCCTTCTATAATCATAAAACAAAATGAATGTAATTTTACATTATCTTTGGTTGGGAACCAACTGACTCCAGAGTGAATTCCAAAATTCTCCCACTGATATAATAGCATTTGCATGATAAAAGTAAGTGATAATTGAATTAAATACTTGCTAAAATATACCTCAACAATCAAAGAGGACAAGTTAATGACTATCGTGTTTGTTAGTAATAGTGTTTTATTATAAAAGGCTAAAGTTGACATTGTACAGTGTGTATAAAATACTTTATACATTTTAAAAGGTTTTGAGATAAAGACTAAAATTGTCATTCAGATGAGGCATTATTAAATACTTTATAAAATATCCCCATGGGATCTCCAAAAGCTATGGATTTATTGATCTCTCAAGTATGTTCATTTTACCCATAAATCAAAATTTGCCTTTCAAGTCACCAAAATAAAAACTCTTTAAAGTTAATGCATTGAGTCTTGGATTGTGTAGCTCAGTTGGTTAGAGCATCATCCCATAAACCAAAAGGTCGTGAGTTTGATTCTTGGTCAGGGCACATGCCTAGGTTGTGGGTTCGGTCCCTGGTAGGGGTGCTTATGAGAAGGCAACCAATCCCTCTCTTTGTCCCTCCCTTTCCCCCTCTCTAAAATTAGTGTGCATGTCCTCGAGTGAAGATAAAAGAAAGTTAATGCATTGGTGGAAATGGTCATTAATTTTTTTAAAAAAGTAAAACTTTATGCGAAGATGAAAGAATGGTTCAATGTATGCAAATCAATAAATGTGATACACCATATTAATAAAATGAAGGTTAACAATCATGATCATTTCAATAAATGTAGAAAAGGCATTTGACAAAATTTAGCATCCTTTCATGTAAAAACTCTCAACAAATTAGGTATAGAAGAATGGACCTAAACATTATAGACTATTGAAAATGTACCACAAAAATTAGGTATAAAAAGATATACCTAAACATCACAAGCTCACAACTAACATCATACTTAATGATGAAAAGGTAGAAGCTTTTCATTTAAAATGAGAAACAAGACAAGGGTGCCCATTCTCACAACTTCTATTCAACATAGTACTGGAAGTACCACCCAGAGCAGTAAGGCAAGAGAAAGAAATAAAATGCATTCAAATTGGAAAGGAAGAAGTAAAAGTGTTTCTTTTTGTAGATGACATAATCTTATATGTAGAAAACTCTAAGGACTGCACACACACCAAAAAAACTGTTAAAACAAGTAAATGAATTAAGTCAAGTTGCAGGATATAAAATCAATATATAAATATCTATAAAAGAAATTAAGAAAATAATGCCATTTACGATAGCATCAAAAAGAATAAAATACTTAAGATAAATTTAACAAGGGAGGTAGAGGATCTATATACTGAAACTATAAACACTGATGAGAGAAATTGAAAAAAACACAAATGGAAAGATAGCTTGTGTTCATAGATTGGACAGATGAATATTATTAAAATGTCCAAACTACTCAAAAACAGTCTATAGATTCAGTGCAATCCCTATCAAAATTCCAATGTTATTTTTCACAGAATTAGAAGAAAGAAACCTAAAACTACAAGATACTCCAAATAGATAAAGCAATCTTGAGCAAGAAGAACAAAGCTGGAGATACCACTTTCTGACTTCAAACTATATTATCAAGCTGTAGCCATCAAAACAGTACTAGTAGAAAAACAGACACATAAATCAATAGAACAGAACAGAGAGTAGAATGGTAGTTACCAGTGGCTGGGCATGGAAAGAAAGGGAGAAAGAAAAGTAGAAAGGAAATCGTCAGGGTCTGGGGAAGGAGGGTCATGGGAGTAATTTTTTAATGGGCAGGGAATTTCAGTTTGGAAGATGAAAAGAATTCAGGAAATGGATGGTGGTAATGGCTGTACAAAAATATGAACATACTTAATACCACTGAATGTACACTTAAAAATGCTTAAGATAGTAAATTTTGCTATGTGTATTTTACCACAATAAAAAAAATAGGAAAAAAAACACTTAAAAAATAAAATTTATTTGCAAATTTTTAAGTTAAAGAATATACAAATAACATTAAATAACATGCTCTTTAAGCTTCTAAAAGATTTTACACAGTATCTTTTGGGTAAAAAGGTGCCTTTTGGAAGGTGGGATAGTTTTGAAATCTTCATAATTAGGTGGGCACTTTCTAGTGATGCATAACCAAATATCAATTCTGGAAGAACAGGATACTAAATGAAAATGCACTTTTAAAACCTAGGCAGGAAATTAAGCATCGTATTTATTGTTTAATGGATTTTGTAACTTTCTAACATCAACAAGCCTGAACAGAATGCTTTTAAGAGATTTAATGAGTGAAAATGGTTAAATAAACTGAAGGTTCTTTTATTATGTTCAAGATATATATATATGTTGTGTATGTGTGTTTACATTTTTATAGTAATGACTATATGCTAGTAGCATTTGAAGATCAATCAGTTGAGCATCCCAAAGAACAAGTTGGGTTTTATTAAGTTAAATTCCTCCCCCTCACACACAGAAATTTTAATATATGATAGTATTTTATGTTTTATGATGTTAATATAAAAAATACAGTCACAAATATTGATTTTTAGGTATTCCCCCAAAACATATTAGGTTATAGAAAACTATCTGAGGTTGGGAAACAAATTTGCCCTTAAATATTGAGAACTCTGGTGTTTCCAATTACTAGAAGTAAAATAAATAACTACAGAAACCAGGCTAAAGCCTCCCCAGCCCCAAAATGAACAACAACAAAAAGAAAGCACATACTTTAATAAATCTCAGATGCCATCAATTTTAGGTTGTATTATTCCAGGTACTGCTAAGAAAGAAGACACACTGTCTGTTAGCTATGACACACTACTGATTACAAGACATCTGATTTAGAGATGTTCAAATGTGGAAAGTGTGCCCCTTGGAATCAATGAAATAAGACAACTCAAGTCCTTTAGATATCATTTGTAACGCAAAGGAGACAAAATCCTCAAGCACTACTTCATTGAAAGTTATTTTACTAGCACCTCACATTCCGGTGATATTTTACTTATGTGAGACTAATGGAGAACTGCTTTCAAGAATTCTCACATTTCTGAATGCATTTCTACATGACTTAATGCTCAGATACTGTGCTCCCATATGATCCAATTTATCCTCCCTTAAAGTGATGCTTTCAAGGTTACATGCTGTGGTTACTTCAGCCACGATTAACATTTCCTACATTTACCATATGTCAGCGTTATCGGGCTACTTGACATGGATTATCTCAATTGTCAAAGCAAGCTTATGAGGTATGCACCAATATGATTCCCTTTATGCTGTTGAGGAAACTGAGGCCCAGA